CCCCAAAACCCCAAAACCCCAAAACCCCAATATCAGTTGACTTGGTTGAGTAACGTTTACTTAAATATTTTCAAAACAGCAAGATCGTCCTTACTGATTCTGCCTCTTAATCTGTCCTTTATGGTTCCTTGTTTTTCTTTCTTCAGGGTTTCTAGATTTGGATTAATTTGAACATCTCCGATACCAATCAAGTCACTTCCTTTTGCTATAAATTAAGAAGAATTTTATTTACTTGAATCCAGATTTTTTAAATATTTCTTTGACAATAATTTCTCATCTCTCTTTTTGTTGGAAGCCCCTAACTTTCTTCCTCTTTTTGATGACTTCTTGCTAGCAGAATTCAGCCAATCAAAACTTGAGTAATCTAAAGAATAGTCTTTCTTTTCCAAACATTTGAGTAACAAATTGCGTAGATATCTCATGTCAGGAGAATTCTTTTCACCTAAGTCTCTGATGTACTCAACAAAAGTATGGAATTCTCTTGGGAAGCCCTTACATAGTTTTGTTATAGGCTTATTCTTCTTGGCATGATATAACACCTTCTGTAGCTCCTCATCTGTCATCATATAATCCTTCTCCCAAGGTAAGCTCCCCCTATATAAATAAATCATCAGGTAGCAAAGGCTCTCTAGGTCACTATTATTTGGTAGGACTCTTGTATTGGTGACTATCACAACAGGAGAACAGGAGGTTTCCAACAAACCCCTCATCACTAGTGGACAAGTCCTTTGCTTTCTTCTTTTGAGGGATATCTAATTTAGAGAGGCCAAAATCAATCAAGTAAATTTTAGTTGGATCTTCCTTGCCAATTCAGAAGTTCTCACCTTTGATGTCCCTATGGATTACTCCTTTCGAGTGGATATGCTCAAGTCTCTCAAGAGCTTGGATTCCAAATAGGATGGTGGATTTCAGTGAGATCTTTCTTCCATTCCTTCTGTAAAGCTCCTTGATGTCAAGGCCAAGTAGAGGCATTTTGATGTAAGCTTCTCCATTGATAATATCTGAAGAAACTATTCTTGGGATACCTTCTCCTTTGCAGAGGCGAAGTAGAGTCTGCTCGTTCTGAAGTCTGTTATCTTCCTTCCCTTCTTCAGTCTCTACCTTGATAGCATACTTGTTTTTGTAGTTGTAGACCTTGCCATAAGTTCCTTCTGAAATCAGCTTGAGGTTTACTAAATTTTCCATTATTATTTCAATTCTCTCACTTAATTTTGGGGTTTTGGGGTTTTGGGGTTTTGGGGTTTTGGGGTTTTGGGG